TGCCTGAGTTTCAGGGCTGGTCGTTCTGGTGAACGACTGAAAATAGCCCTTCGTTTCAGGCTAAAAAGGCTCTTGCCATTTTTAGTTTGAAACGACACAGGGACTGTAGGCCCCTGTTTTCAGGCTGAATTCTAGGCTTTTTGGCTGAAGGGCGCAGGGCCTGGAAAATGGCCTGCGTGTGCAGGCGCAGCATGTAACACCCACACCTCCTTATGAAGTCAAGCCGGGGCGAGGGCGAAGCTGGCGATCTGAAGGTGGAACCTGGACGAGGGCGTGGCGTGGAACCGAAGAAACCGGCTTGCCTTGCATCTTGCGTTCATAGCGTGCGAGAACGTCTGGAGCCGTTGCTTGAAGTTCCGCACGGGTTAACCAACGGTCAGCTCGGTGTGTGCAGTATGCAAAGTGCACCAAATACTCAGTTGGCTTGTTGTCGTAGCGTCGCTGGGAGATGATGTCGCCGACCTCTTGAAAACCGTCCATAGAAGGTGGGTCTTGTGTACGTCTCCCAGGAAAATCGTCATGTTCCGCTGGTGTGTAAAGAGCCAACTTGGAGCAATGAAAGACTGGGTAGACCGGCAAGTGGCCAGGCAACTGAATCGTGAAGGAAGGTCCTTCGGGTGCGTCCCCAGCGGGCGCTACGATCGGCCAAGGCCCCATCCATTTCGGGAGGAGCTTGCGAGAGATGTCTTGTTCAAGGATGAATTCCGCTGCGAAAACGCAAACAAGGTCGCCTGCGCGGAATGGGCAAGGAAGACGCTGGCGATTGGCCTGTTGGCTCATGCGCTGCTGCGTCTTAGCCATCTGATCGCGTGCCTTGACAAGAAGCTCTTGCATCCGACGCAAGAAAAGAAGATGGTCGTCGCTCTTGGCCGTTCGTGGAGTAATAGTGTCCAATGGTGAAGTGACCGGCGAGTCGTGCTCAAACTCAAAGGGCGACATCTCAATAGCCGGGTGGATAGATGAGTTGTAGGCCAACTCGACATCCAGCAGCCGCTCAACCCAGTCCTTCTAGTCGGGGCGGATGAGAGTGCGAAGGAGAACCTGTGCGGTCTGATGCGCCCTCTCCGTCTGGCCATCGGTCTGAGGGTGGCGAGTTGAACTGGGCTTGAGAGATGAGCCCCATCGCTTGATGAGTGCCAACCAAAAATCGGACATGAACCGAGTGTTGCGGTCGCAGACGATTTCCTTGGGGTAACCCTTGGTTCGAATCCAACCAGCGTAAAGAACCTCGGCCAACTCCGGTGCCTTGGCATGATAGCGACAAGGCAAGAACATGGCGAACTTGGTGAGTCGGTCGACCACCGTGAGAATCCCATCCACTCCGGTCTTGTGCTTGGGGAACGGGCCGGTAATGTCCATGGCAATCACTTCCCTTCGCCTCAACGGGACTGGTAGTGGTCGTAACTCACCGTACGGACGATGATTGCCGGATTTGCAGCGTCGGCAAACCTCGCATGACTCGCAATAGCGTGTGACGTCGCCGAGAAGGCCAGGCCACCAAAATCGCTCGCGGAGTCGGCCAATCGTGCTATTGACTCCAAAATGTCCGGTGGGGGGAGCGTCGTGGAACTCGCCAAGAAGCCGTGTACGCAAGTGAGGATCACTCGGTACGCAAAGGAGGTCCTTCTTCCGCGTGTGGACAAGCAAGTACCCCTCTTGGATCTGGTAGTGAGAAGGCGCCGGATTAGGAGAGGAGCAATTTGCGTACTTGTCGCGAAACTCGGGGTCGGCTTGGTAGCCACGGATGAAGCTGTTCCGCAGGTCATCGTCGATCTCGAAGGTTGAGTAGACTGCGGTACAATGATCCGGACGCTGTGAAAGAGCATCCGCAAAACGGTTCGACTTCCCGGGAATGTGATCGGGAAAGAAGTCGAACTGGTCGATGAAAACCATCCATCGAGCGATGGTGCTGTTGACGGTGTCTTGGGTCTTATAGAAGACCAACGGATTGTTGTCCGTTACCCATCGAAATTGGCTTCGACCAAGGAGGAAGTGCCGCCAGCGCTTGAGCGYGWGGACGAAGGCGAGGAGCTCCTTCTTGCGTGCATCGTCAATGGAATGCACGATGGGCACTTTCTTGTTGAAATACTCGACCGGGTGCCAGTCCACGCCATCATGTTGCTCGAGGACTGCACCAATGCCATAGCCTGACGCATCCGTMGTGACGCGCGTAGGCGCGAGCGGGTCGTATATCCGCAAGACCTCCGCAGACAATAGCGCGGCTTTGAGAGCGAAGAATGATCCTCGCGCCTCCTCTCCGAAGTCAAACGGCCGATCCTCGCACTGAAGCTTGTTCAAGTGGGCCACAATCTTGGAGTAGCCTTTGATGAAGCGCTGATAGTAGCCGGTAAGACCGAGGAACGAGCGGACATCTGTGACGTTCCGAGGCTCCGGCCATTCCTGGACGGCCTGAATGGCCCAAGTATTCCAGCTCTTGTCGGACAAATTCACACTTGTCGCGGTTGGCCTTGTACTTAGCGCGGCGGAGCGTCTCCAACACTCGTCGAAGATGCCCCAGATGATCCTCCAATGACCGGCTATAGACGAGAATATCGTCTAAGTAGACCACCACAAACCGGTCCAACATTGCACGGAACTCATTGGTCATGGCCGCCTCAAAGGTCGTCGGGGCGTTGGTGAGGCCAAAAGGCATGACCACCTACTCAAAATGCCCGTACCGCGTCTTGAATGCGGTCTTGTAGCGATCGTTCGGCTGGATCGAGATTTGATGATATGCCGATTTCAAATCCAACTTGGAAAAATACTTTGCGCCGCCCAGTCGCTCAAGAAGATCGTCGATCTGAGGAAGAGGCCCCACATTCTTGACGGTTTGCGCGTTGAGCTTGCGGTAGTCGATACACAATCGTAGATCCTTGTTCTTCTTCCTGACGAAGAGAACTGGTGCTCCATATGGGGAGCTTCTAGGGCGGATCCAGCCCTTGGCCAGTAAATCATCGAGTTGTGCGCGGAGGACCTCAAGTTCCTCCTCGCTCATCCGATAGATGCAACCCTTCGGCGGCACGACACCGGCCTTAAGAATGATCTCGTGAGAGATCAGCCGATCCGGCACCACACTGGTAGGTGACTCGAAGATGTCGGCGAACTCGTCCAGCAACCGCACCACACGGGGGTCCGAAGACAAGTCCGTGGGTGAAGAGTCGGCTACCGCGACGGTTCGTAGGAAACATAGGTCGATCTCCTCGGGCTGCTCGTAAGCGCAAGTCGCCCGGAATGATTTGGCCGTCACCACTTGGCACCGGACCGAAGTGTGCGGTAGAGGAATAGTACACGCCACTTCTGCGCCGAAGGCGTCGCGAACGCTAAGAGTCCGCCGATGGAAGTTGACCGTGTGATCCGCACTTGCAAGCCAAGGCATTCCCAGAATGATGTCGAAGTCCGTGTCGAGAATATTGAATGTCACCGGTTCGCATGCATGAGGTGCGAAGTAGACCGGTACGGCCTCGATGTAACGGTTGAGAAGTTGTTGCGTCTTTCCATCCGCCAACTTGATCGTCGTCGGGTTTGCCTTCCTTCGAACTTGTGCGCCAAGGTCAGCCCTTTGCATAAAGGATTGGCTCATGAAGTTGCGAGACGCGCTGCTATCCAGCAAAGCGCTGCAGGACGCTTGCCCAACCTGAATGAGGACATACATGAGCAGTGTGTTGTTGTCATCGTACCGCTGCGTGCGAAACTCGCGGGCCACCTTGGTAGTATACGCAAGGATGTCCCCCACCGCGACTTCATCATCCGTCGGCGAAGTTGGTGGTGCATAGAAGGATAAGTAAGTGTGGAGATGAGCGTTAAGTGTTGCGCATTGCGGTCCCAGCAAGCGACCTGTGGTCGGGAGAGGAAGCCATGCAAAGTCCTCGGACGTGAGCGGGTCCAATACCTCTATGTTGAACTCGCGCGCCGAATCCCGTGAAGAACCACTTGAAGACGATATGTCGCCGTTGCCGGACGGATAAGAAACCGCACACACTCCTTGTCCTTGAGCTTGAGTACCTAGCGTAGGAACGAGCGAGGCAGCGTAGTCCTCAAAAGAAAGTAGAAGAGGACTATCGACTTCCGCGTGCGCCTCGGAATGAAGGCCGGTTACTCACGAAGAAACCGGTTCCGAAGGCGTCGAGAGTGTTGTCGAGTCACTCTCGGCGGTGCTCAGTTTCCCTGTTTGCCCTTGCCTTTCAATGGGGAACCCTGCGTCTGATGAAGATCGTTGTTGCACCAAAGGCAATAGTGGAATCTCTCGCGCGCCTTAAAGGCTTCCTCGGAGATGCCATACTGGGTCCAGGGGCCTGTCTGAGTTGCTGCACCGGGTCCGGGGCTAGATGTGGTGTGTGTCTTCTTCTTGCCGCGTCCTCGGCCTCTGCCGGGGCGGCCACCTTCCCGGGCGGCTGTGAATCTGTCCCCTTCACTGGCAGACACAGCCTTGCTGGTTTGGTCCAACGGCGCTGCCACTGCGACCACGGCCACTCTTGGCCGATGTTGGTCCCTGCTCGGGCCTGACGCAGATGAACGGAGGTTCTTGGCCTCCTTGTTCGTGATAATGATCTGCGCAGCCTTGTTGAACAACTCCGCCGTCGTCGTCAAGGTGTCCTCGACATGAGTCAGGGCATTGCTTAATGTCGGACATGACCTTGAGATGAAGTAGTGGCGGATGGCCTTGAAGCCCATCTGGATGTCTGGGACTGACGTCAAGCRTTGGTACTCGGCGATCCAKTCYGTACTCGGCAGCRTGCCTTGCTCGAAGACCATGAGCTTGTCCATGGCTTTGATCTCCGGCGGCTCCACTTGGAACCGCTTGTGCCACGCCGCCTTCAGATCATCCCAACTGATCTTGGTGTGCAAGTCGTTGGCTACCACTCCATACTTGGATAACAGGTTGTCCAACCAAGCCTGACACGCGCCCCCTGAGCGAGAGTACAAGTATGCATGGTGCTTGAGTTCCTTGACGTTGTGGAGCTGCAGCGTGAGCTCGAACTTGCGAAACCATGGAATCGGATTTGTCTTCATTGAGTCGCAGAAGATCTCCTGCCCGTCGAACTTTGGAGTTGTCTCGCGCGGTTCTGAACTCGAGGTGGTGGAGGTAGTGCAGATCCGTTGTTGCAACTGTTGCGTCACGGTCTGTTGTAATTGCACGCCATCCTTGAGTGAGCGGACGTCCATCTCCAATGCATCGAGGCGGTCGGCAGTGTTGGAAGAGCTCGCGTGGGCGGCGGCGACTGGTCGCTGCTCCAACCGCTGAAGGCGGTCGTGGACGTGAGCGAGCAAGGTGTTGAGACCAAGGATCTCCGCCTGCTGTGTAATGCAGGTTGCCAGGAGATCCGTGAGATGCGAGAGGAGCGCTATCTTGTTTGCGCTATCCTCCAACTGGCTATTCTCGGTCCGCCATTCCGCTGCCATGGTACGTAACGCCCGCTCTCCAGTAAATATTTTCTCACGACGCTGGACTCTTTCCTCATCGGCAGCCCTTGCTGCTGCCTCGTCATGCTGGAGCTGTTGTTCAAGTGCCAGCAGACGTGCCTGCTCGGCATCTTCTGCCTTCTTCTTCGCTGCTGCTGCAGCGTCATCTGCCCGTTTCTTAGTCTCGGAACTCCAGGCCAGCATGCGCCTGATAGGCCTTGTCTGCTTCCCCGGGGCTCTAGTCCATGACTGTTGTTTGAGATCGCAACAGCATAGACCAGGCGGGGGCCTGTTGATGTGGTATCCCTTGCTGCTGACGTGGCACGGCTGACGTGTCCTGCTGACGTGATCTGCTGACGTAGCCTGCTGACGTGGCAACTCACCAATGCCGCCGCAGGGGGTACCCGGATACCAACAGAAACGGAAAGGCGAGAGATGGCAACAACATAGGTGGGGAGGGGTGGGTGGGATAATCGTCCGACCAATCACTTAGATAAGGAGCCACTAATCGAACAAGAAAAGTTTGAACTTTGCAAAAAATTTCGAGAAAAATAAAAAATCCCGATTTTTGCAAGTTCGGTAGGTCTCCCAACCTCCCTTGAAGTGTGAACTGATCACTGAAAGAAAAATTTCGACTTTAGACTGCCAATGATTTATAGAACTGAACGACAGAATCCCAGAACTGCGAAAAAATTTCCGAACCAAAGTGACAAATATTTGAATTTATTCCGATGAGAATATTCGCAGTTTGGAAAATAATACTGTAGGAGGTATTTCCCGTACCGTTTTCAGAAAACGAATTTCAGAAAAGAAAATATTCCGAATTTCTAAGTAACGGGAAATGCAACAGGAAATCGAAATTTTTTAAAAGAAAAATATTCCGGATTTTCAACAGCGAAATTTCAAATTTTCAGAAGAAAAACGAAAATGGGAATTTCAGATGTTGTGATTTTGCGATTTTCCACAACAGAATAGCGAGAAAATAAAATCCAAGAAAAGAAAAAAAAAATTGATTTTCGGTAGTGAGGTCAAGATCGTGATTTTGGGGTCTAACTAGTATGTCCTAATCAACCAATAAAGACTAACTAGCTTTTTGCTCCCCGCACACGTGTCAGATCAGGGTGTCCTGATTCACGTGCAGAAGCTCCGATACCAACTGTTACATGCACAAATATGCCATGTACGTAATAACCGAGGATCTGCAATGTGATGAAAAGGACAGAATGGACAATGCAGTGCGAGTAGAATCTTGACAGACAATGTGCATTCTCATACATACAAAAGGTGCTGAAAAGCGCAGGGAAGACTTTGATACAAGGACTGACCTGACAGGGACTGACCTCACTCGCGTAGTAACAAGTAGCAAAGCAGAATGCTAGAATACTGATAACGAG